TCTTTCCCCACTCGCTGGTGTGTACCCCCTCGGGCCTTCTCAAGTACTCCTGGAGATAGGCGTATCCCTGGTCTACTAAACCTTATTTAGTTGAATACAAGACAAGCTTTTTTTTCTCCAAACAGCATGGGGAAAAAGGCTCCTGGTCATGCATTCACATACAAGGAAACTTCATTACATGTATTGCCTATTATTAAACTGCTGCCAGAAGCAGCATGTACTCAGTGTTGGAATGCTACTAGGAAGTTAGTTAAATGCAGCCAACAGTGAGCATGACTATAAAACACATAGCTCATATTGAGCAAACATAGGGACCTACCACAAAGTTAGTTCAGCTCTTCTGAATAAGACATGGACAGTCCCATTGTGCTCAGTATCCTTTACCACCAACTTTTTCAAGTCTTGGTGAACCACTACACTGAATTCATTTTGACTTCCTATGCACTCCTACAGCTGAGCTATGCCTTTCATTCTCATTTCCAATGATTCCTATTTTTTTACTAGCCTTAAATATCTGGCAAATGCCACTAAACAGGGCCCCAAACCATTCACGCACAATCCTTCTGTTGCCCCCTCTCTCAGCCTGTGGCACATGATTAGTGTGGCCCCGCACTCCATGATGTGGAGCTGGACCAGGGTGCCCTGTGCTATGTAATTTTTTGGAGGTACCCAGGACTCATGAGAAGAACGTCCAGGTCAAGTCACGAGTTGGGGACTAATTATCATATGGATCCTTTGTGGGGGTGGTATCTGGAATCCACATACATACTGAGCAGTGCTGAGCTATGGGGTCACCATGGCTTGAAACACTGTTGACTCAACCCAGTGAAGTAAAGAGTAAATCATGAGCCTTTGGACTACTCTCATGAATAGTCTGTACTATAAGTAAGTAGGTATAAAAATGCTGCTTGAAGCTGAGTTTATGGAATACCTGTGCTAAGACTTGCAGAACTTTCAAAAAGGATAAAATGCATCAATCCTGGATGAACCAAGTCTATGAGTACTCATAGTAATCTGCCTCTTCACAAATTACTATAGGCATACATATTTAAGTCAGTGCTTTAAAATATGCTCCTCACTTCTATGTACTAAGGGAGATCAGGTGTGGCAACAATTAGTGGGAAGGGCAGGGCTACAGGGGAATGAAGTTCAGGCGTAGAGGGCAAGAGGCCATTTTACCTCCAGGCTTATTTTCCTTGCTGTGGCAGGGGGAAGGGGACAAGTTCAAAGAAAATCTCCTATAATTAGATTCTATACCTGGAAAATGTATAACAAATTTATACATTTTCCATATACAGAATCTACTTACTGGGAGGGTCATCTTATAATAAGGATCAACTTATATTTGAGTAAATAGCATATGTTTTGAAATTACCAAAACTAATAATGATTTTATTATTTATTTAACTTTTTTTTGTAGCTTATACTGGTTTTTAGAATAATCTTTTGAGCATACCTCATGTGTGTTTTGGTTAAGTCATTTCTCTCTAGCTGTGCAGTATAGTATAGTTCACTAAGTAATAGATATTCCATTGATAACTGTGCAGATTTATATAAAAATGACAATAATTTCCCTGTTCCTTATTCATAACCCATGGTGATTCTAAAATCATGTGCTAAGTGCCTAGAAATTATTTTCTTTCTTAATTAACAAAGTACTGTTGCAACGGTTTGGAAATTCTTTTCAATGAGCATGATAAACTCTTGGATGATCTGTTGTTCCACAAAAAGTATGTCCTTCAAATTAATTCTTATTAGAACTAGCATATGCATAACTTTAAGTGAGTAGTCCTACTGAAGTAAATGGGACTACTTACACTATAAAATTTAAATGTGGTTTTACTTTCTTTTGGTGGGGGTGGGAGGGAAGGAAGGAGGGCATCAGCTTTGTGTAATTATGCCCTAGTTTGCAAGTAATCATGTTCCACTGAGTTTTTCAAGAGATTTTAAACCAATTTTGAACATTTTAATTCGTAATGTGATTCCAGAATGTATTTTTTTAGTATTATTTCAAGCTATATTTATCACTTAAGACACTGATTGTGTGTGTAGTGTGATAAGATATCCTTG